GGGCTTGTCGTTGTGCATTCGTTCACTCCGTGTTTGTGCTATTTCGCGGCTAAAGAGATAAGCCTGCTTATTGATGGTGACTCTTGCTGCACAGACAACAGCCAGTGTTACTATATGACCCCCAGTGGTCCACAATTTAGGGTCTTGCGAAGCAGTCCTCACTTTTTTCAACTTCCTTGTGGAAGGCCCATTCACGATGGAACAGTCGGCTCCAGTGTCGGCGAGTGTGGTAACGTTGTGGCCGTCGAATATTACGTCGAGGACGCTGCTTTGTCATCGTGCGTTGCGGTTGGATTGTGTCATCGGGTCACGACTACGCCGGTTTGCTCCGCTGTTTCCACGTGGCGTCATGAGGTCTTCCTACAGCCGTGATTTTCCGCCTTATATAGACTCCGCGCTGCATACCCCGTCTTCAAGTTTCGTAGCGGCGTCGTTATGAGCATTGGCGGAAGATCTTCGTTAGTTCGTCGTACAGCAAACTCACCTTCATGGGGTGATGCCCATAGTTTTCCGAATGAGAGCTCGGAGATCGAGCCCTGAGCAGAGCAGCGATGCGTAGAGGTGTTGTGGTCTGGCGATGGTGTAAGATGTGGTCGCCGTGGTGTCCGCTGCCGTCCTGCAAGGCAGTCGGCGATATCGCATGGTATTCCACCCCTTTGTGGACGCGGCCCGTTGGTGACTAAACCGCCAAGTTCCATCTGGTGGTACTGGTAGCGTGGTAAAGGTATCCAGCTTCTCCAGAATGGTGGTCAGCTTATTTATTTATTTATTCTGTGAATAAGAAGACGCATCGTTGGCAAGCAACATCGCCACCGCTTGAGTACTGTGTTCTGGGCTCCACTCGCTCGCATCGTGCTGATCGTCGCCGGCATATGCTTGACCGTTGCTCTCTCCCGACCGTGTTTTCATTGTAGGGCCACCGTCGCAGCACACGCCAATAAACCCCTTTTTGATTGGTGGAGGGTGCTGACGTTCCCCGTCGCCTGAACCAGAGTGCTGCCATTCACCGTTGCCTAAACCTGCAGCTGCGCAACCGAATGCTACCTCCCATCATGGCCACCAATTACGCGCAACTTGGCTCTTCCACTCCATCCTCCAGCAACCCCGGCGTTCTTCGCTTGCGAGAGCCCAAGTTCTTTGGCGGAGCTGATGAGACTGACGTGGAAGACTAGATCACTAACTACGACCTGGTGAGCGCGAACAACAAGTGGGATGACGCGGACAAGTTGACTAATGTCACCTTTTATCTCGCTGACGTGGCCGAAATGTGGTATAACAACCACAAAAACGACATTACGACGTGGTCCATCTTCAAAACGTCATTTGCTGACGTTTTTGGCCGACCCGCTGTGCGCAAGTCCAGAGGCGAAAAACGCTTGCGGACTCGCGCGCAGAAGCCAAAGCAATCGTTTACCAGTTACATCGAAGACATTATTGGTCTTTGCAACCGTGTGAACACCGCCATGCCCGAGTCGGAGAAGATTCAGCACATCCTCAAAGGGATAAATGACGGCGCATTTCAAATGCTCCTGGCCCGTAATCCTGCCACCGTTGCGGAACTTGTGGCTTTGTGTCAAAGTTTCATCGAGTTGAGGAAGCAGCGCGCCCTGACTCAGCCGTTTTCCTCACACGCGAACTCGCTTTCCAATTTTTCGTCTATTCCCGATCACTCACCAACTCTGCAAGAGAATAAAGACTTTGTGCGTGAAGAAGTAGCTCAGCAACTGTCGTTGATTCTCTTCACGCAGCAGCCGCCATCCTCTCGTCTGCCCTCACCACTCCGCGACGTTATTGTCCACGCGGTAGCTCAGGCTGTTCCCGTCACTGCCCACCAGCAGCCTGTGGCCATGCCTGTTCCCCATGCGCCGGCTATGGAGCCCGTGGCCGCGCCTCTTACGTATGCCCAGGTGGTACGCAGCAGACCACGTCAGCAGAATTTGCCACCCATGTCTTTATTTGCTCCCCACTCCGCCCCTCTTTGGACACCTTTGGCCGCACCGCGAGTAAGCAATTCCTGGCGCACTCCTGACAATCGACCGATCTGGTACGCCTGTGGTACTCGAGGACGTGTGGCACGATATTGGCGCCGTCGCTTCCAACCACTCCCAACTGCTACTCGGCCGTTACCTTATGACCCACAGCCCATGTACCTACCTGCTCCCTATCCCTCACCACAGTATGGCTACAGTAACCTTCCCGAGTCTCTGTCACGCCAGCCACGTCTCAGATTCAACCTCCTCGCTCCCCGTCTTCTCGCACGCGATCACTGTCCCCAATGCGTCTCCGACCCGCTTCCTCCAACCGGGAAAACTGAACGCCGCAGTTCCAGAGGCAAGAACTGCACCGTGGTCGAAATGCTCAAGTCCTCGCCCTTCACCTGCTAACGTCGTCGCCATGTCTGTCGATGATGTTTCTACCTTTGCCCTCGTCCGCACAGGCGCGACCGTTTCTGTTATAGCCGCCCAGTTCTGCCGCTCCCTACGCAAAGTCACCGCGCCACTCTCTAGACTATCGCTTCGTATGGCTATAGGGCACAACCAGTTAGACCCCTCAGCACCTGTACGGCCTGCCTATTCATCCAAGACTCTGTGTACGTTGTCGAGTTCGTCGTCCTTTCGGTGTGCTCCCTTGACGTTATCCTCGGCTGGGACTTTTTGTCACATCATCAGGCCGTCATCGACTTCGCACGCGCTGAAGTTCAATTTTCGCGCCTGTGTGATGAACCTTTGCACGAAACGCTTGAGTGGTCGCCAAAACTCGTTGTGCGTGAGGAGACTGAAATTCCGCCAGCCTGTCTTCCGTTGCTGCTGTTCGGTAGAAATACCGAAGAATGGGAGGAGACTACGAAGCATGGCCAACGCCACGTCGCAGCCAGGAGACCAGGATGAAAGGTCTGCGTCACCGCGTCGGAGGTTGGTCAGTGGTGACGTGATCGACGCAAACTTTCGAACGAAGCGCCGGAAGTACGAGCATAGTCCGACGAAACTACGTAACTCTTTCAGTGTAGTAGGTTTCGGGAACTCAGCGACTGCTCGAACTTTTGCAGGGTCGGATAGAACACCATGCTTGGACATAATGTGCCCTAAGTCATACAGCTCTCGCACGGCGAAGCGGCACTTTTTTGAGCCCAGCATTGGTTAAGCACGTCAGAACCAGTTGGAGCCGATGCAGATGTGTAGGAAAATTGGGAGAGAAAACGACAATGTCGTCGAGGTAGCATATACACACAGACTACTTCAGTCCACGCAGCGTGTTGTCCATGAGTCGTTCAAACGTGGCAGGAGCAATACAAAGCCCAAAAGACATTACGTTAAATTCGTACAGTCCACCTGGTGCTTCTGCCATAGAACCCTGCCAGTATCCAGATCATAAGTCTAAGGAGGAGAAGAATTCGACTCCTTTCATGCTGTCAAGGGCGTCGTCAATGAGCGGTAATGGATAGACGTCTTTCCGCGTCACCTTGTTTAATTGCCTGTAGTCGACGCAAAATCGAATCAATCCTTATATAAGCCCGCAAGCTTCTGCAGAATGGCGGCAAAATGGGTAGTGATCAGGGGTGCGTCTAACTTCGGTCTTTGTCGAACCGCAGCGCTGGTCGACATACTGTTGGGGTAGCGTTGGTGGGGTCAGCGGCGGAGCAATGTCTTAACGCGGCGTCGGGCTGCAGCGGCGTAGCTCGTGGCTTGGGGCTGAGGCTGTTATGCTTCAGGAGTACCCAACGACTGTTATATTTCCTCCCCGCAGTGCTATCTGCGATCAAGAAAACTTGTGGCTGCTATGCTGGGAACATTCGACGAAGCTCTTTGCGCAATTATGGCTTCCCGTAGGTGGTCTGAGCAGAGGGATGGTCGAATGTCGGCGTAGCCTGGGGTCAAATGAAAAATAAATTACAGCGCGTACCATCTCCAGTGCATTTTGGATTGGGGTTGTGGTTGCCTCTTTCACAAATGTTGTCTTTAGTGGCTCCTCATAAGTCTCGCAAGAGCTCCTGCTTGACCACTCCCATGAGGAAACAAAGTTTCTTCTTTTCGGTCCAGTCTGCACCGTCGTAGAGGAAAAGTCGCCACGCCGGTGTAGACATCATTCATACACGCGGCATCGAACATTCTAGTGTTTTCGCTGGTGGCTGCGTTTCTTCGAGAGTGAACTGAGATGTTCGAGCTTGTGCTCTTTGAGGCATAAATGTTGTAGGCCCGTGTGGTCAGATTTGGGCGCACGTTAAAGAACCCCAGGTGGTCGAAATTTCTGGAGTCCTCCACTACGGCGTCTCTCATAATCATATGGTGGTTTTGGGACGTTAAACCCCACATATCAATCAATCAACTTGTGTTCTAAGTCTTTATTATGATTGTATAATACTCCGAAAGGCTTTGAGACATTATAGAGCGTGCGACGCAGCATATCGACACGGGCATTGTAGCAGAAAATGTGAGAAAGGAGTGTGGAAATACTCATTTCGAAAGTTTGAGTGACGTAACTCGTGATTACAAACACGGTGCTCAGCTAACATGGATGCATGCTTAAGAGATATTGGAAACAAAACAGCGCAAAATGGTGAGCAGAAGAAAAAAGACAAAAACAACAGCACTGACTTTCAACAAAGTTTATTCGTTATTTTTTGCAGTCCTAAACGAGAGCAAGAAGAAACAATTATAAAAACATTGTTAAAAAATGAACTTTCATCACTGCTGAGCATGCAGATTGCGCATACAAGCAGATAATAAATTAGCCTGTGAGAGGGAAAAACAGTGAAAAGTCCTAAGCATGAACCAGCTCGCAAAAGCCGCGAACCTAGCAGATTCGCTTACCCGTCAAGGTAATTGAAGGCTGTTCCCGCACGAGTAGGTTATTCTATTCTATGTTACGCAGGTGCTGCTATAAAGGTCCACACATAGTAGTCATCCTGTAGTTATACCTTGCGGAAGGTACCCTTACTTAGTTCACTCGTCGAAAATGTTGGGTGTGCTTGGTGCTAAGCGTGGTCGTCTATTGCGCTGCAGGACGAGACAGCCACGCTGTACTACTACGACCGGCCCGACACAGTGGGTCCCAAGCGTAGTGACTACGACTTCATCCGGTTCTCCACCATCGATGAGGCATCGGTCCTCAAGGTGAGTACCACCATGTTCGGCACTAATCACACCGTGCTGCCACCTGCCTCATGCTGCAACACTGCGGGCACTCATTCATAGGCTCGTGTTCTTAGTAAAACCATATGCGTCAAGCGTGGTAACAAAAATTCACAGTTTTGCCGCAAAGCCTTAGCAATAAATGTGATAGCAAAAATTTTAAAGGTCACACGCAGAATGGAGAGCAGATCGAAATGTGCCCCACATTTCTCGCGCACAAATTATGCGCACGAAACGTTATCACAGGTAAGGATGCACGCGAATAAGCGTCTCATATGTTACTTCGCTGAGTCTGAAAAGCGCGCGCTTTTTCGCGAACAGAAACTGCAATGATTGCAATGACCTTTGTGCACCCGGTAACTACAGCGGATCGTTCCACGTTGAGCCCGAGGCCAGCCAAGGCGTACGATCTTCCCCTCCTCGCCACCGCGAGATAAGGGTTTGCGAGGGAGCGTAGCTCCCCTTTTCTAATCTGGGCAAAGTATGCGTAGGAGACTAGGACGGGCGTCGCTGCGCGATGTGGCGACGTGCGCTCATTGCGTCATCTTTCTGATAATACCAAAAACACAGCAGCGGTAAGCTGTAGATATAAATGGCTTGCCGTTTGAACGATGGGGGAACGTTTTCAGGGATGGCTTTGTGGTTGACGCTTCGATTTCACGTCTCAGAGGTCCCACCTTCGATTCCGCGCAAAGGAGTGCTTTTTTCTGGAGTTTTTTTTTTCTTTCTTGCGTTTTCATATTTATCGATACGAATACATATACGGTGCATGACGCCGACGCTGGCGGCAAAATCCAACAGAGGGTGTCCACGTAATTGCTATCGTAATAAAACGGGAATCAGCTCAACACGGCGCATACTTCTAAACGAGTATTTTAAAGAACTTACCACATTTATGGGAGGCGCAAGTCGGTGGCACGGCATCGCTTCACAATACCATAATAAAATCAGCTTCCTGGGGGTTATTCGCAATATTATCACCGCGGTTTGTATTTCGAGGTGCGGCTTCTATATGCAGGCGCGAGTTATACGCAATAAATTATGGCACCAATGTAGACAGGGCTTATCTTCTTTTTACGCAGTGCACTGCGAGCACGTGACGCTGGAAGTAGTCTTCGACCGACGCTCCCCCCCCATTTTTTTTCGAGAAGTCAATCGTATACACTACAACTTCTTTCAACTCTTTCCAGTTCAGTTACGGTAGGCCACCGCTTGCGCCAACAAGGGGTGCAGATGACATGCCCATAGAGCCAATGGGTACACGATGGTAGCATAGTCTAAACTCTCACGGTGGGGGAAAAAACACACTAAAAATAAAATTGTGCTCTAAAAATTGTTTAGTAGCCTTCACTATAAACCTAATTTTTATAACTGAATATATTGTTAGCATGATTTAGTTGTACATATTGGCTTCATAAAGCACAAGGGCGCTTTGAAATGGCGACTCGCATACTGCAGACGATGCCGTGGTCTTCTGCTCTTGGGTCGCGGCTGTCTCCCGCTTTTTCCGGCACTTCCTTGTCTGACTCCATACCTGCCGTTTTTCATTGTGCGCATTGTAGTGAATTATTCATTACAAACTCAAAACCATCTTGCAAACCTAATGTGTAGGTTAGTGCTGCCACATGTAGGCCGAGCAAAATTAGAACACCGGTAACACAAACTTGCTGCCATACAAACCATTTTATGGCGACTGCATTGATGTTTACATAAAATAAAGCCCACATAGGTAGCGTTTTAGCATGTATACCAGTGTGGTATATCATAACTTTAATGTTTCCGCACTGAAGGTTCTACAACGACTGCCCCTGAATCAGGACACACACGCAGTGTTCTTGCTTCTTTCGGGCGAGAGTGTTTTTATCGCCGGCGCCCGTGTTTGGAGGCATCGCCGCGACGCGCAGGCGCAGAAGCGGCGCCGACCCGTTTCACCGCACCCCCCCCCCCCCCCACGCAGAGAAGAGCCGTCAGGGTTGAAGAGGTTTGGGGACCCGCACCTGGCGTCCAAGGCGGGCGGTGTAGGGTGCGAGCGTAGGCGTTGCGGGCTGTTGTCGGCGAATTACGGGAGGCGTGCTGGTGTTGGTAGGCTCCTGGGTAAGGATGTATGATGGCTTTAGGCGGTCGATGAAAACGCGTACATCCTTTCCACTGATTTGCAGGATGAATGTTTTGTTCTCGCGACAGACGACTTTGTGAGGTCCGGAGTAAGGCGACTGGAAAAGTGCGCGTGTGGTCTCGTCGCGGAGGAAGATGTGCGAGCATGTTGCCAGGTCCTTAAACACGAACGGGGTCGACTGTGTGGCGAGCCGCTGGTGAGGGGCGCACCGCGCCCATTGTGCGACGGAGTCAAGCGACGAAGTCTGCAGGGTCCGAGCCGGTTACATCAGAGGTCGTAGCAGAGAGGAGTTCTCCGGGTAGGTGAAGCGGCTTCCAGTAGATGAGTTTCGCAGGCGTGGCTTGAATATCTGGTTTGAAAATTGCGCGCAGACCGAGAGCAACGGCGGGGAGAGCTTCGAGCCAGGTTGAGTGAGGGTGGCACATGATGGCTGCCTTGAACTGCCGGTGAAACCGTTCAATCATACCGTTGGCGCAAGGGTGGTAGCTAATTGTCCGTGAACGCTTGAACCCGGTGGAGAGCCTGAGAAGGCTGAAGATATGATATTCGCATTGCCTTCCTTGATCGGTGGTGACTCAACGAGGGGTGTCGAAGCGTGAAAACCTAGCCGGAGAAGAAGGCTGATGCGACGTCTTCTGCGGTGATCTTTTCGAATGGCCACACCTCGGGCCAACGAGTGTGGCGATCGATGGTGGTGAGGAAATAGCGGTAAGAGCCGGTTGGTGAGAGGGGGCCAATGATGTCGATGTGGACGTGCTGGAACCGTTCCGTCGGGAGGGGGAATTCTCCAAGTGGCGACGTGACGTGCCGGGTGATTTTGGCACGCTGGCATTGAATGCATGTGCGTGCCCAGGTGCGGCAGTCCCGTTGCATTGAGGGCCACGCGTACCGGTCAGTCACGAGGCGTGTAGAAGCTCGGATGCCGGGAGGACTGAGGTTGTGTAACTGGTTGAAGAGGCTTTGGCGATGCAAAGAAGTGGCGTATGGTCTCACTTGTCCTGTTGAGATGTCACAGTAGAGAGCGTCCATTGACCAAGGGATGGTAACTTTTTGAAGTTGAAGGAAAGTGCCATTCTAGAGGAGCTGCTGGAGTTTGGTGTCCATTTTCTGAGTTTCGGTGAGAGCGTCGGTTGTAACGGTTGGTAGCTCCACTGCCGAGACGCGAGAGAGTGCGTCGGCCACCACGTTTTCCTTTCCGTTGATGGGGCGGATATCTGTGGTGAATTGAGCGATGAAGAACAGCTGGTTCTGCTGGACCAGTGGAAAATTTTCGCGGCGTTGGGAGAAGGCGTAAGTGATAGGTTTATGATCGGTGTATATGGTGCAGTGCTGTGCCTCGAGGATGTGGCGAAAATGTTGGACTGTTTCGAAGATGGCAAGGAGCTCTCTGTAGTAGGGTGGCCAGGTCGTCTCCGCAGGGGGCGAGGATGCATCGCCGATGCTGCCAGAAGGCGGGGGCGGCTTCGGGGAAGAGAGTTTCTTCAAGAAGAACGCCAAAGGGTGCCAGTTGTTTCCCACACGCTGCATGAGAGAGGCTCCGACGGTGGTGCTCGAGGTGTCTGTGAAAAAACCCAGGGGCGCCTCTGGCTTGGGATGGGAGAGCAGCGTAGCGTTGCAGAGGGCAGTTTTGCAGTCTTCGAATGCTTGCGTTAAAGCTTGGGTCCAAGTGACAAAATGGTTGCCGCGTTGACCAGCCAACGCATCATGGAGATGGGCCTGATATGTGGCCGCTTTAAGCACGAAGTGCCTGTGAAAGCTGAACATGCCCAGGAAACGAAGGTCCTTCGCTGTGGCAGGCAGCGCGTAATATTGCAGGGCCAGGATGCGGTCAGGGAAGGGTCTAGTTCCTTCAGCAGAGATTGCATGGCCTAGAAACGTGACGACGGGGGTGCTGAGCATGATTTTTGAACCTTTCTGAGTAAGCCGTGTTCTTCGAGGCGCTGGAACAGTTGACGAAGGTCTTGACAATGTTCTGTTTTGTTGCGGGAGAAGATCAAGATGTCGTCCAGGTAGGCGAAACAGAAGTTCAGGCCACGGACGACGTCATCGATGAAGCGATGAAAGGTTCGCCCTGCGTTGCGGAGACCAAAACTCATGAAAAGGAATTCGAAAAGACCGAAACACGTGATAATTGCGGTCTTTGGGACGTCATCCAGGTTTACAGGAATTTGTGTGTTGCCTTTACCAGGTCCACCACTGGGAAGATTGTGCTGCCGTCTAAGCGGTGTGCAAAGTCCTGTACATGACGGACGGGGTACCTGTCGGGGACGGTGCGGGCGTTGAGGGCGCTATAATCTCCACAGGGGCGCCAGCCAGTGGTCTTCTTTGGTACCAGATAAAGCGGTGAGGCGTAATGTCCTTCCGAGCAGTGGGCAGTATCTTCGTGGAGCATGGCTTCGAAATCGGACTGTGTGATTCATAGGCGGTCCGGGGCTAGCCGACGGGCGCGGCATGAGACCGGGGGGCCGGGAGTACTACGAATGTAGTGCACGGTTGAGTGGCGCACCTCTCGCGGACGCCGCTAGGTCGAGTCAGGTCGGTAAACTCTGCGAGGATGTCATGGTATTGCGACTAGTTCCCAATGGTGAGTGCCTTGACGTTAGGCTGTAGTGTGGTCGCAAGTTGGCCCGGTGTGAAGAGGCCTGTTGTAGCGTCGATAAGTTGGTCATATAGGCAGTCAGGTAGAAGATTGTAGTACGCCAAGAAGTCGGACCCGATGATCGGCTCTGTGACGTCGGCGATGACTATATTCCATGGAAAATCTCGACACAGGTTTTTGAAGTTGATATTAAGGCGGAGCGAGCCGTAGGTCTTGATGGTCGAATGGTTTGCCGCGCTGAGCTCAAAGGACGTGCAAAGACGCTTG